CGAGACCACGGGGCCGACCGTGACGACGGGCGTTGGGAGGCTGGCCAGGACGCCACGGGGCGCGTCCAAGGGGTCATGTGGCATGGTTGGAAAGCCGCCCATGACAGTAATTACGAACTCAATAGGATTGACAAACCGACCACAACCCTGGAATCTTCATCTCCTTTGATTAAAATCCAACCACAATCGCTTGCTCCTAATTAATTTAGCTAATTACTTGTTTAATTTTCGCAATAGTAGTTTAGTAGAAAAATAATATTTTTTTATTTTCTTGGACAGTAAATTGACTTTAGTTTGCTTAGTTAGCGATTAATCTAATTCTCTGCGGGTTCGACATCCGACTTTCGAATTACTTTATTACCTGACGGCCACGTATACTTGCGTGTATTTGGGGAACCAACAGTCTGACTGTATATTTCAAAAATACTTCGATTATTAAAAGATTACAATTTGAATTGTATTTTTGAGAATTTGAATCTAACGATTCTCTGACTGTTATCGTTCAATTAAATTCACATCTTTCCCTTGTTAATTATGTAAAGAACATTTTCGTAACATGGATCATGGATGTGTGAAATTACTTGTTATCAACAGCCTAGACTACGAATTTTAAAATTAAAAGTTAAAAAGGAGAAAGTCTTTCATACAGTAGAATGTAGCTGTATTTGGAATTTATATCAAATTGATGAATACACGAATAATTCACATTCATTTAATAATGATTATTGATGTATTTTTACTTTAATTTTAACTAATAATATTATTAAAATACTCGATCTTGTGAAATATTGAGTGCAAATAAATTTTAATTTTCTCCGAAAGTAATTACTAGGAGCTACTAGTCCTAGAAAATGAGAGATGTATGTAGGGGTGTTCGTCGGTCGGTACAGTACGATATTTAGATATTTTGGTTCGGTATTTTCGGTATTCGGTTTCGTAAAATGCTATATCGATACCGTACCTAATTAAATTTGGTATGGTTCGGTTTTTCTCCTTTCGGTTTCGGTTTATTCGGTTCGGTAACTTCGGTTTATTCAGTTTGAATACTAACTAGTGCATAGAGTCATAGACGGTAATATTCTTAATTAAAGTACTCAAAAGTACAAAACTAAAAACGTTTGTTGACAAAAGTTTTGTCCAAAACCAGCAAAATACCAACCTAGAGAGAGAAAACTTAAAGAAATATCTTGTTACTTGGCATCCCGGTGCACTAAGCTCCCGCTATGCGCGAGGTCAGGGAAAGGGCCGGACCATAAAGGTCTATTGTATACAGCCTTACCCTGAATTTCTGCAAGAAGCTGTTTCTGAAATATCTTGTTACTTGCTTAGAGTTAATTGATGAACTTAGAAAATAAAAAAAATTAAAATTTTAGATTTCTTATATTTATGTTATATTTAATAAAATGTGTATTGTGTAATATAATATATATTTCGGTACGGTATTGGTATTTCGATATTTTATTTTAAAATACTCAATACCATACCTAATACCAATTTTTTTTTAAAACTTAAACCAAATACCATACCGAATACCAAAATATCGAATAACGAATACCAAAATTTTTGATTTCGGTACGGTAATTCGATATTTAGTAAATTATGCGTATGTACCGAAAACAAAGCAAAAAGAATAGTAGAACCAGCCTATGCATGCGTTTACGTTACGTGAGAACATTAATAATGTGGAACAAAAGGTTGGTCAACCCAACTAGCTAACCACTAACCCTAGTGCCATCCACCCTCACATCACATCTAACACATTTTCAACAACATTATGACTTCATAGTTTTAAATTCCTTGGTATATATATCTATTCATATTATCCTATCTTTTTAAGGTTTTCTACATATTCTTCAAATATTAATATTTAATTATTTTAATTATAAGATTATCCTAATTAAGCGGACGCAATAATAATAATCGGTGATTTCTCTCCCTAAGTGTTGGTGGATAGAGATATCCCATAAAATTAATCGAGATACGCATAAGTTGGCCAGATATCCTCGTTATAAAAAAATTATATATAGTAGATTTTATCTTGATCACTTTTTTTAACATTTAACTAATCAGATGAGTAAAATATGTTTTTTTTAAAATTATACCTTCTTATATAATTCAAAATGTTAAAGATTTTAAAATAAATAAATAATCAGCTAAAAAGACTAATACTTGGAAGGGAGAAAGAATAATATATTGTATTCTTTTGTCCTTTTTCTCGTTGTATAAATAGCGACATAGACACGCTAACTTTCCCATAACCTCAAAGGCCAAACAGATAGTTTCTTCCCACGAAAGCAAAAATCTCCCTCAGTTTTTCCCCCCCTACTACTTTTCATCATCATGTCTCAGGTACCAATTCCTTTTACCCTTCGTTTTCTTTTTCAGATCATTTTGATAATATTAATTACATTCATACTGTTGTTTTACTCTATCTGTTTTGCTAGTAATTGTCATTTGTCAACTATAATAATCTTGGAATTCTCTGAAGGGGATTGAATTTTTCTGGTTGTATATCCTGAATTTTGATTTGGATTTTCTCACTTTGAACTGAAAATTGGTTCTTGGTGTCTGAATTTGTTGTTACAGTGTAAAGAATAGAAACATAAAGCTTTGAAGTTTTATACTATCACTCTTTTGCTTCTTGTTTGTTCCTTATTTCTAGTAATTTATTATCCAACTAGTAATCAATGGGTTTTTCCATCTCTTCTTTCTTGGGTTTCTTACCGTTCAATGATTTCAGGTTTACGAATAAATGTAAGATGGCTAATTATAGTTTATTACTACCTCCCTTATGAACCTATTTCCTTTTTGGTTCGTTTCAAAAAAAATGACACCTTTCTAAATTTGTAAATAATTTTGCTTAAACTTACAGTTCTACCCTTAACGAGAAACTTTTATAACCACACAAATACTCTGGGCCCCTTTTGAATTGTTTAGGACAACAATTTTTTTTTTAAAATTACGTGTCCAATCAAACAAGTTCACATAAATTGAAACGAAGGGAGTATCTAAATACAAAGAAAATCTTCAATTTTTGAGCTTAAAAATCCTTTTCCCTTTTTGTTAATTGAGGCTGAGACGGGTTGACTCTCTTGAGTCTTGAAACGTACTATTTTAAATTGATAAATTGTTTGAAGTCTTACTCTTGTTTAGTGGGAGGGATAAGGAATAATAAGCTTTATAATTAAATTTGAGATTAGTTTATCCCATGTTTGGTTGGAAATAAAATCACAGCATAACTAATAACTAAATAACTAATACAAGGATTAATTATTCCGAGATTATAGTATTATTTTATCCCTATGAAAGGGTGAGATAACAATCCGAGATAACTAATCCCTGAATAATTAATCCCGAATAACTTGTTCCCAACCAGATGACATTCCAAGACTTTGAATGCAAGCTAAATCGAAAGCTAATGGAATGACCCCTTGCAGTGTCATATCCATCTAATTGATTGAGGATTTAACTTATCCACACTAACAATGTTTAATTATACTTTTAGGGGTCGTTTGGTTTGAATACGGCTTATGGCGTGATAAGTTATGCTGGGATTAGTTATGTTGTGATTAGTTATTCTGGTATTATTTTTTATCCACTGTTTGGTATGTTGTATTAAAAATAACAATTGCATAATTTCTAAGAAGAAGGTATACGTTATCCTGACACTAATTACCCTACCCTCTACAAGGTATAAGTTATCCTGGTACTAATTTTAATCCCGGAATAACTTATACCAGGTTTGCTAACCAAACAAAGTATTAAGGTGGTATTAAATTTTTATACCAGCACTATACCTTCTTATACCTCATACCAAAACTACTCCTTAGTGTACTTTAACGTGCAAGTTGTAATAGGAAACCAGTCATAGTTTTCAAGTTACTAATTCTACTTATTATGAAAAATAATTTCTTGCACTGTTAATATATAAATGTTAAACTTAATTAATTGAAAGTCTTTTTCTTTTTTTGTCTATTGATCATCTAATTCTTATTCCCTAAATGATAGCAGACAGTTGTTCTCAAGGTTGGCATGTCATGCCAAGGTTGTGTAGGAGCTGTGAACAGGGTTTTGGGGAAAATGGAAGGTACTTATATATATAATTGCACTTTTATTATCTTAGCTTGATACAGTTGCCACAATTATTTGAACTGCCTTTTTATAAATCTCCTATACCTAATTTAATTAATATAAATCTCCTATGACGAAAATTTTCTTCCTTTTCTTCAATGGCAAAATGCAGCATTTAATTAAAATTACACTTTGTTTTTAGTACTTCTGTTTTAATTGACCATTGCATAGACGTGTATCATTCAATGTGTAGCAATTTTCCTCTGTTGTATATTGTATAAATATTTGTTGCTCCAATATTGTTTCCTTTGATATCTGTCAATGAGAATATAAGTTACCAAGTGTGAGAGAGAGAGAGTGTGTGTGTGTATATATATATATATATATATATATATATATATATAATATGTTTTATGTAAATTTTGAAGTGTGATGAAGGTGATTGGTGTAGAAATGACACCAGGTAGCCACTCTACAGAGCTGCTATTTAGGAATTAATCAGTGCGTCATGAATTTCAGTTTTTCAGTTCAATTTTTCCGGACAAAAATGTCCTAAATTCTCCCGAAGTTAAGATTTTCAGTTTAAAATTTCAGGACAAAACAAGTATTGGCTATTCTTTAAATAGCATCCCTGAGAATGACTATCTATGCACTTGCCCGGGTGATTGGTTTGTTCATTAACTAGCTAAAAGTAGCCTCAAAATGCACCCTTTGCAGTCCATTTTGTTCATATAAACCATGTTTAGGGTTATTCCAATGTCTTTCTTTTGGTTAATTTCCAACCACCATAGGAATATCAACGTCCATTGGTTGAGGGATAGCTCACTTTGTGAGCTTCCTGCATTCCACAGTTGAGGTAAAGGGTTCAAATCCCTTTCCTAGGTTTATATTCCCTTCCCTTTTTCCCTCCTCTCCCACCCTTGATGCAATAAAAAAAAGAGTAAAAAAACAAAGTCCATTTTGTGAAAGGCCGGCGATGGCTGAATCGAGCACATTACATGCTCTCGTGGTTTGTCCTTTTGGTGCTTTATCCATCCATAAGTTATTTAGGATAAATTATCCCATGTTTTGTTAGCGGTATAAAATAATACACCAATTGACATATTAAACTATGCCACTATTAGTTGTATACTACTCTAAGTTCAAACCAAACATTGGATAAAGCAATACAAAATTCTATACCAGGAGTAAAAAAGAGCAACTTGGTGCAAAAAGTATCTCACGTTCACGTAGGGTCCCAGTGAAAGCCGAAGGAGGTGTAATGTAGGCAACATATACCATGAGTATTTCATCCAAATTCCTCAAACCAAACGAGTCCGGAGCTTGTTTCTTTTTAACCCTATTACTTTTCGACTCGTTTCATTTTATGTGAACTTGTTTGATCGGATATGGTATTTAAGAAAGATATGTAGATTTCTGATATTTGTGATCTTAACCATACTATGATATTGTAAAATGAGAATTTTACAATTAAACTATTCCAAATATATAAATGTGTCATTCTTTTTAGAGCAAACTAAAAAAATAAATACAGTCACATAACAAACAGAAAAAACACAGAGAGTAATATTGTGAGCTAACTAATTTGACCATACAGTTTGATGAATTACTGTTGGACATTTGACTCAAATCTTCTCTGCAAATCATTCTAGGTGTTGAATCTTATGACATCGATATTAAGGAGCAAAAAGTAACAGTAAAGGGAAATGTGGAGCCAGAAGCTGTTTTCCAGACTGTTTCAAAGACTGGAAAGAAGACTTCTTTCTGGGAAGCAGAAGCACCAGCACCCGCACCAACTGAACCCGAAACAAAGCCCGTTGAAGCAAAGCCTACAGAAGAAAAGCCCGCAGATACAGCAGCTGAACCCGAAGCAAAGCCCGCAGACGAAAAGCCTGCAGAAGCTGTTGCTGCAGCCTGAAATTTATATCATGCTTATGATTTGTGCAACTTTATTATGACTAAAGCATAATGTAATGTGTAACAGTTAATCAGAGCTTAAATAATGTCTTTCTAATATTAATTTTTGCGTTTGTTTTCTTCTTGTAATATAGATAAGAAGTCTTGTTAGTGCAAGACTAACATCTATACACAAGGAACTACTACTATATATACTGGAGTCTATTGTTTCACCAGTCTACTGGAGTTACCTACGGTTATTGTTTACGGAGAGTGATTTCACTAATCAAATGGAGATCAAGGAGCCTACTTCTGATATATTCGGGTCCCGAGTTTAACTTTTGTTGACTGACAGACATAAAAAATATTTACACAATTAGGTTAAATTATTAGGTAAATAGAAGTAAATCTATGATGGACATTAACTTTTAACCTTATCAAAACGATCGCCGGCCGAGGTTGGTTTGGTGGCATACTACAAATGTTTTTTTAGTTATATGGTCTTTTATAGGATATTGGTAAAAAATAACACATAGGAGATCCGTAAGTAAAACACATCAAATTGTTATAAGGTTATTTTTTTCTATTTGAATCATAACTGGTCGGAGATCATTTCCTCCCTACCATCACACACATATTAAACTACATTATTAATACTGGTCGATTGTTTAAAAAAATCCTTATACTGTCACCGTATGTAATTTAAACTCTGCGATATATCTTAATTGCTCTCTCTAATATTTTCACATGATCACGCTCAAAAGTGTATAACAGAGATCAGTGAGCGTATCTATTATATTGTTTCCAAATACACTAAACTGAAATTAGAGTGGTACTCGCGTTCTTAGCAGGAATTGCTTTCTTGTTTGAAATATAGAAATATAGCAAACAACATATATAGAGTTTCCTTCAATTTTCTTATCCATTTGCTACATAATAAGATCGGGAGTTTTGTTGAGACAACGACAAATATCATATGAAAGTAAAATCCTTTTTAAATCTTAAATAACGAGCTAACATTTTTTTTTTTTGTTGCAGTTATATCAATGAGTTAATTAATCTAATAAACAAGCTAATTCAAGCATCAACACAAATTTATTTATTCTGAACTGATGTCAATGTGATCGGTTTACCTGCATCCCGAGAAAATTACCAGCTAAACTAATGTTTCAAAAAGAAAAACATGATTTTGTACGTTAGTATCATTTAAAATTTTAGGGCAAATACTATTAATTATCACTGAAAAGAATAATGATGATGGGAATTAATCACCTGAAAATTGACATACACGTTTCACGGCATTAAAACATGAATTAGACTACACAGGTCTAATATTTAAAAAACGACTTGTTTTATTAGCTAGGTTTGGTTTGAAATTCAGGAGAAAAAAAAAGAAGTAAATACGCGACTTACTTCTCAGTAAGTTCCTTTCCAATTTATTTATTTAAATTCATTAGATGCCTTGCCTAATGTAATGTACTTAGTAGTTTCGAAATATGTATGTAAGCAGAATCCTTTTCTTTTTCTTTTTCTTTTTATTAAATCTAAAAGAAGAAAGAATCAAGATTCCTTCTATTTTCTTTCTCTACTTGTTATAGAATAGTAATGGAGTTTGTGGAGCAAATTCACGAATAAAAATACTGCAAAATGAGAAGAAAGTCAAACCCCTATTTACAAATTAAGAAAGCTATCCTAATGAGTTGAATATGACATATTGGCTATGAACTAAGAAATTTTACACGTATTGGCAACCAGCTAATAAAATAAACTGACCAACTCAATCTCCAAGAGGGAATTGTTTTTCAGAAAGACAAATTAAGAATGGAGAGGAGTGTGGGTTTTTTTATTAATTTATGGAGAATACTTGTAATGATTCCTATGAGCACTATTTTACTCTTATTCAAAATTAAGGAGCTTTTTTTGTGGCGATGCGATGTGCTTCACCTAGGCAGTCATGTCCTCGACCTAATAGTCTAATCGCCAGTGGCGAAGCCACATGGTCATAAGGTGGTCAACTGACAACCCTTCGTCGAAAAATTGTACTGTGTACATAGATAAAATATTATGTTTTAAAGGTATATAACACATATTGAACACCCTTTGTCGGAATTTTTTCACTTCTTTTAAATTTGAACACGCTTGGAGAGATTTCTAGCTTCGTCACTACTAATCGCTATGTTCTCCATCGATGTGAGAGCCAAGATATCCGTGGCCAATAGTCATGTTCCAAAGTAAAGATATGAAAAGCAGTTAATTAAGTCAATTTCCAAGGAATGTTGATATATTAACACACATAAAAACTGTTTCTTTTCTATTCTTGTTTCCTCTTTTTTTCTACTTATAGGCAACTAATGGTAAATAATTATAGGAAAAAAAAGACGTCAAGCTAAATATATTCAAATAAGGTGGTGGTTGTGGAGTCCTTCAAAGGTCAGACAATATTATCTCGAGAATACTTCAACTATACAGTTGGTATTACAGGCATTCATGTTTTGTTTTTGTAACATATATGAACAGTTCCTTCTGTAATTATAGATTGGTTCAAAGAATCTCTCATACTATAAATACTCCAATGTGTTCATAAGTTATATATATCCATCACTTAAGGAAAACCAATTATTACTAAGAAAAATTCATAGTGTCTAGCTGCTATTGAGTCTTACAAAGATGGACTCCAAGAGCTTCAACCTTTCTGTTCTAGCACTTTTAGCTTGCCTGATTTTATCTTTTTCAGTACCATCTCTTGCCTATGGGAAACAAACAACATGGCCACCACTTAGAGTTGGTTTCTATAGATATAGTTGTCCCTCTGCTGAAGCCATTGTGAAAAATGTTGTATACAAAGCCGTATCGCGTAATCCAGGCATTGCTGCTGGCCTTATCAGGCTACATTTTCACGACTGCTTCGTCAGGGTACGTATGCAAATTTTTGATTTATGAGTTCTGAATTCTAGAAAAGGCAGATTTTCGGATTCAGGATAAATTATTTGTACATATATAGACATAGAATTTTGGCCAAAATTACTGGAACCTGTAGCTAGAACTCTCTTCGCCTCTGATTATATGTGCTGATTTAATTTCCACATGCATGCTGGTATTTTTATTTTCTTTTGATAATTACTTCACCTAATTTCTGTGTGTTATTTATATAATTAGGGGTGTGATGCATCAGTATTATTGGATGGGCCAAACTCAGAGAAGGAAGGTGTTCCTAACAAGAACAGTTTACGAGGTTTCGAGGTTGTTGATGCAGCAAAAGCACAACTTGAGGCAGCATGCCCTGGAACTGTGTCCTGTGCTGACATTCTTGCCTTTGCTGCTCGTGACAGTTCCTATAAAGTTGGGAAAATAAACTATGATGTCGAAGCTGGACGTCGTGATGGTCGTGTTTCCATTGACTCTGAAACATTAACCAATCTTCCTTCTCCATTCGTCGATGCCAAGGAACTAGTCAAGAGCTTTGCCAGAAAAGGTATGTCCGTTGATGAAATGGTGACCCTATCTGGCGCGCATTCCATTGGTATTGCTCACTGCGCTGTTTTTGCTAACCGCCTTTACCCTCAAAACAATCAACAAAATCTGCCAATTGATCCTGAATACGCCAACTTCTTGAAGTCCATTTGCCCACCAGAAGCACTTACAAACGGGACAGGAGTTGCGAACCCTGCAAATCTTGATGTCCTGACACCAAACTGGTTGGATAACAAATACTACGCGGCGTTAAAGAGTAAAAAGGGGCTGTTGATTTCTGATCAGGGGTTGCTGGCCAATCCTACAACTGCTAAAATGGTGAACTTCAATGCAAGATATGGTTCAGTTTGGGCTAAGAAATTTGCAGCTGCAATGATTCACATGGGTCAATTGGATGTCCTCACAGGTCAAAAGGGAGAGATCAGGAGCAACTGCCATTTCAATAATCTTTTGCCTTCCTTAAATTTATAAGGAATGGTGATCACTACTGTTTCAACTTTTCCCATCCTACTCAAGCTGCAAGGATGATTCAATGTTTGTTCAATTGTTTTTGCTTTTCTTTTTCCCCAATGAGTGTCCAATTGTTTTTGTTCCTTTAATTTTTCCCAATGTTTGTTCGATTGAATATTGAAAGGATTATTTGAATTGAGTTCTATAATTGATTGATTTTTAAAATTCAACTGCACATTTAATTTATTCATCTTCCAAAAAAGAGTATATTTGATATGAGGGAGTTGTAATAATCTACCAACTACCCTTTCTTGATTTGAAAGAAAGCATTACAGTCCAATTCACCAAAATTTGTCATTACCACCAACTCCAGTAACTTAGTCCATGAAGGTAAATAAAATCAAATAATTAGTGCATAACATGAAATGAACAATCAAAGAGCATAATAATCTCTCAGTCATATATAAGATGCTCAAAAGGAAAGGAAAAATGTAAAGAGATTAAAGTTGAGTATTGAGATTTTGATGAAGTTTGTTTTACATCAAATGCTCTAAGAATCAGGTCCTCAACGTAGCTGCTTAACTGCTCTAAGAACCAGCTCCTCAGAGTTAAGAACCAAACTCCTCAGGGTTAAGAACCAACTCCTCAAGGTTGATGATTGTACGTCTTTGCAAAAGAGTAACTTTATCTCAAATTAAGTTACCCAGGTCCGAGTTTGTTGGAAGAAGACTGCTAAACATGATAAGGGTTGTTGATTAAGAAGATACGCTTGCATAAGTGAGAGACAAGAGTCCCAAGACTTGTGGAGTCCTTGGAACAGCAGGAGTCCTATCAAACGAGAAGTTGACGACGCATATGACTCCTAAAAGATCTCGGAATCCAGGGAATTTAAATACTATCTTTTTGGAGTGCTGAGATCATCCTTTAGCACATCAATTGAAGAACTACATTTTCTATACTCAAGTCGAGTACCAGTGTTGTGTTCTTCTTGAGTTAGTTTAGTAAATGTGTTTTAGGAAATCGAGTTGTAATCAAAGTGCATAAACAATCAGTGTATTGGACTGAGTGTTTGGTTTTGCAAGTTAGAGTAACTTGCAATCAAATAGTTGAAGTAGGAGAACTGGAGAGTATTGAGTTACAGATTTTTAATCACTACAACAAAAAGGGGCTTTAGCGGCAATAAAAAAGGGTATTGGCGACAATAACAATAGCTGCTATATCATTTATCAGCCATTGACGTTTAGCCGCTGAAATCATGGTCGGCAAAGCCTTTAGCGGTGTTTCTCGCAAAACCTGGTAAAAGATTTGACTTATTGCCGCTAAATATCATTTGCTTTAACGGCAATTGTTTGCGGCAATTATGATGGATGCTAAATCCTAATTTAAAACGGCTACTAATGCTCTTTTTACGTCAATTTTTGTAGCCGCTAAATTCAAAAAAATTATCGCTAAAGGTCCATACCTTTAGCGGTAATTGTTTTGTGGCAATTAGAATGACTATAATATTCCTTCTGAAAATGTATTAGTATGCCCTTTTAGCATTCATTTTAATGGCTGGTAAATTTAATTAAATTGCCGCTAAAAATTATCTTTAACAACAATTATAATAGCTACAATATCCATGTGGAAACATCATAATTTGCCCTTCTATCGTCTATTTTTATGACCAGTATCTCCTGTTAAATTGTCACTAAAAGTCACAAGCTATAATGACAATAGTTTAACCACCAATAATAATAGCTACGACATTCGTTCAAAAAATGATCCAACTAATAAAACGTAATAATATTGATTCATAAAAACATAATGTATCTTATTAAATCTTAACAAACAAAAGGAAGTACTAATCCAAAATAGTAATATCACAGTAACTTAAAAAATAAACTTATATTGTTCGAAGAAAATAGCTAATATTATTATATAACTAATCCTAATAAATAATAGTCTTCAAATAATTTATGCAATGCTTCATCGTGTGGAAATCTTTCACCCGCTAAATTATCGATCATCAACTGTATGACTTGAAATTACAAAATAACTATGTCAATAGATGAAATATAATAGTCTTTCAACTGGGATTTTTATCGAGCAAACATTGCCCAAGCTAAAGTTATTTTATTGTATAATGACAGTTCCATTTTTTCTATAGAATAAGACATAACAAAATTACAAGGAAACTCTTGCTTTATCATGGACAAGAGAAGTGCATATTATATTGCTCTAACACTATGTTTAAACAACAAGGCAACTGATTTCATTCCCAAGATTGGATTTCATCCCTAGATTCTACTTTCTTTTGCTTTGGTATTTCATCAATTCATAGGATGAACAACAGATTATGGTCATACGGCAACCCAGACATGAACACTATCACTACTTTTAGCCCATGCTAAGCAACAAAAATTAATGGTGAAAATCCACATGTTGTAGCTAAAGGATCAGATGTTTGTAAGCTACTGCCCATAACAACTGGTTCTAGTGCTGCTACAGGTATTGTTGACACTACTGTGGTTAGGGGTTCTCAGGTTTTGAAGAATGTAAAAGTACCTGTGGTTGATCGAAACTTAACTAGGACTGCTATAACTACAGATGCTGAGCAATACGCTAATGCAGCTAGACAACTGATCACTAAGGAATTTGAACAATCTAAGATACAATTATCAATAGATAGGAAGGTGAAAAGAGCTGGGCAGGTACTTGATGTTCCAACTCCTAATGGGAATGGAGCTCAATCATCTCCTGAAGCTGCTGCTGCTTTGAAGGATCCTAAGGCAACAAATGATACAAAGGTTTTGGAATTTCCTACTGAGATTATTGTTCAACAACAGTTGGTGCATGTACATGATCAACCAGCTGTTGTACTTGCTGAATTGTTTGAAAACCCAGTAGGCTCTAAAGCTACAACTTTGAATAGGGTTTCTCAGGTTTGCGAGGGGAAAAAGAAGGTTTCTAAAGACCCTACTGTTGATCGTGTTCCAGATCAAGGATGTAATCAAGTTTGTCGAGGTAATGAAGCTATGGAGCAACTTAATAATGGACAGGGGCAGATTAACGTTGTGACTGATGCAACTATTGCACGTGCTGAACTAGTTGAAAAACCAACAGGCTTTAAATCTATTGTTGTGCATCATGAGAGGCAAGAACTTGAATGTGTTGATGTTTGAATTGAATGCTTCCCAGAAGGTGTATAAGACTGATATGACTCTCTTTCACAAGCTGCTATTTCACTTTGTGAACTCCTGGATTTTGCAAAGATCTGAGAGAAGGCACGAGGCTACTCTACTAGACATGACTGTGATGGAATTGCTTGAAACTGGAGCTATCAATCTCCCTAGCTTGATGATTCAACACATGGCAAGGACTGCAGACACTTCCAAGCCTAAGCATGTTATGCCTCATGTTAACTGAGTTGTTTGACAAGCTCAATATTGCCTTGCCTGAGCTTAAGTTTGGAAACCACAATGATGTTTTGGATGTTGTTACCCTCAAGCAGTGTGGATATGAGGAGATCAAGGCTAGGGGACCAACAGGTTCTACTATTCTACCTGGTAGCAACAAGGCAACAGAACTTACTAAGAGGCTGGAGTTAGATCTTGAGCAGAATTCCAAGCTTAGAGAAGACAATGATGAATTGAGAAAAGAAATCAGGTAGCTTAGGAAGGATCTCAGAAGGGACAGAGAAGCTCACGCCCAACAGATTGCCACCCTTGTGAAAGAATTGACCCCATCTTCCTCTCACCCATGAACTTGGTCTTTCCCCCAGTATCTTTAGCTTATTGTGTTATCCCAGTGATGTTTTAGTTCTTGTTTCTTTTATTTTAGTTTTGAGTAAGTTGTAGGATGTTTAGTTTATTTTTCTCTAATATTTTGAGTCAAGGACTTGGCTTATTTTGGCACTTCTAAATGACTTCTCTTATAATGTTTTAATATTTCGCACATGGTTATATCATCAGTTTAGTTTGTTTGCTTTGATAATTCTTGAGCTTGTGTTGTAGCCTATATTACCATGAATCTTTCATTAACTATGCATTGTATGTCTAATATCTTTTTGTTAAATTCGATGATGCCAAGGGGGGAGGATTGAATTGGGGGTGTTAGTGTTGATGTGCCTGTCTGTGTGTTTCTTGTACAGATGTTGATATGATGATATGAGGTGATTACCTGGTTCTAATATGCATAAAGTTTGTCATCATCGAAAAGGGGGAATTTGTTGAGTATTGAGATTTTCATGATTAATAAAGTTTGTCTCAGATGAAATGCTCTAAGAACCAGGTACTCAACGTAGCTGCTTAACTGCTCTAAGAACCAGCTCCTCAGGGTTAAGAACCTGCTTCTCAAGGTTGATGATTTACGTTTGTGCAAGACAATAACTTTATTTCAAAGTTACCTAGGTCCAAGTTTGTTGGAAGAAGACTGTTGAATATAATAAGGGTTGTTGATTAAGAAGATACGTGTGCATATGTAAGAGACAGAGTCCCAAAAATTATGGAGTCCTTGGAACAGTTGGACTCATATCAAACGAGAAGCTGACTACGCATAGGACTCCTAAAAGATCTCAAAGTCCAGAGAATTTAAATACTCTTTTTGGAGTGCTGAGATCATCCTTTATCACATCTAACTGAAGAACTATATTTTCTACACTTAAGTCGAGTACCAGTGTTGTGTTCTTCTTGAGTTAGTATAGTAAATGTGTTTTAGGAAATCGAGTTGTAATCAAAGTAAAGTATCATAAACAATCAGTGTGTTGGAGTGAGTGTTTGGTTTTGCAAGTTAGAGTAACTTGTAAATCAAAGAGTTGAAGTAGGAGAACTGGAGAGTATTGAGTTACAGATTTGAAATCGATAAATTTGGCTAATTATTCAAGTAAAGTTGAAGTTAAAAATCCTACGTAGTAGATCGTGATTTTTGCACCTTTTAAGCCGGGTGATTTTCCACGTAAAAATTATTATGTTTACTGCTTATTTTACTTTATGTGTAAGGAGTAAGGTAAAGAACAAAGTTCTTTGGTAATCCATAAAGGCACTCAAATTAACAGTTACCCTGGTAGAATTAAGTCAAGCTCTTGGTCTTTTCTATCTTGTGCCAATTCCCATGATGGCAAGCATCGCACATAGTCCTGCATTCCCATTCTTTTTAAAAAAAAATGTTGAATTCAAGATCTGAAAAGATAAAGAAA